CGACTAACATATCTTAAGTTCTAAGACGTGATAAATTGCTGAGTTGATTCAAGTATAACGGATACCTGTAGGACTTAAAGAAAATCCTAAGGTCGGAAACTCCAACGTGTAGAATCAATTGCCGCAGCCTTTCAACTTAGACGTTAAGATAAACGAAAACGAACCCGGTGACAGTATATAAGATATAATAGAAAATTCTAAATTATATCAAAATTTTTTATTGATCTACTTGACTAATGTACAAAGTTAGCTTAAGAATCAAAATTTTAAATTATATCTTTATATAACAATTTCTTTTTTACTTTTAATAATTAATTTAGTTATTAATTTTCTTTCATAAATAATATATTATAAAATAATTAAAATTTTAATTTAAATTATAATTTATTTCAATTTATAATAATATTTAATTAATTGTATTTAACTTTAAAAATTAAAATTAGATTAATTATTTTATTAGAATTTGCTTTTAAAATAATTTTAAGAGTTAAGTTTATATTAATATTAATTTTAGGATTATTATAATAATGATTGTTAACTTTTTTTAAATTTTCTAATATATTTTAATTATATATTAATAATTAAATAAAACTAGTTTTTATTAATAGAAAATTTATTAAATAATAATTTTGTTATTTAATTAATAAAGATATTTTTAAATTTAATAATATTTTTCTAAGTATAATTTCATATTTAATTAAAGATTTTATAATTATTTATTTGTATTTACTAAGAATCAATGATATATTTTGATTATTAATAATAAGAATAATGGATAATCTAAATTTTAAGAGTTTTTATTTTCTAAACTTTTCAAATATAGAAAAGTTTATATGATTTATTAAATAGTTATTAGTTTTAAAATTAAAGCTAATATAATTTTAAAAAGTAAAATTTTATTATAAAAATTAATAATCTATTTATATATTTTATAGGTTGTATAATAATACTTAAATTATCATAATTATTTTAATAAAAGAGATTAATCTTTAAATTAAAACTAATTAATTTTATTAAATTTAAAAAGAAACAAAATAAATTAATTAAAAGAAAGTATATATTATATATCAATTTATATATTTTTATTCAAAAGATTAAATTTTAATTCTTTAAAAGATATAAAAGTCTAAACTTATAAGTTATTTTAAGATAAATTTTATATATTTTAACAATTACAATTTTCTCTTTTATAATATAATTCTGAGTAATATATAATTAAATATAAGTAATAAAATAATAACATTCATTAATCAAATGCTTTTCTTATAGTATTTGTAAAATAATCTATTTATTTCAGTATTATTGATACTTTTTATTACATTATTTTTGGCCAGCATATGATATTAAAAAATTAATTATATGAATAAGAATTTAATAAATAAAATTTCATTACTAAAAAAATTCTGTTCTTAAAATATTTAATAAAATAAAATTAGAAAAGTATTATACGATATAACAAAATATTTTACATAATCAAATAGGATAAAAAAATCTGAGAAAAATGTAATAATTTATAAAGCATTAGCTTGATTTTACAAAATTATTTTAACTAATTCAAATGATTTTAATTGGTTGCTTAATTTTTGACAATCGAATAATTCTTCAACAAATTTTTTTTTAAAATCAAAAAACAACGCTATGTAAGCTCACGTTCTAAAACGTTAGCCATTGATAGTGTGAGAAAAAATTATCTCATTTAGGTATGTTAAATGAACTAACGATGATTTTTTTTGTTGGCTAGGAAAATTAGGTTCTGGAAATTTAACGAAATTTTTGAAATTATTAGAATGGGATGCAAATAGGGTCTTAATTTTTCAGAATACGATTTTTCTAGCAATAATTTGTTATATGTGACAAAGCAGTTCCTTGTACCGATATTATGTCGGTATGTTGTTTGTTTTAATTGTGTAAATTTGTATTAACTTTGTTGATTTACCTTGACTTACCGAATCTTTTCAAAAACTTAATCGTAGACCGGGATCGCGTTGGCTTTACTTTTCTTCATTCCCTTCACCTATAGCTTCATACAAGGACCTTGATTAACAATATTCAAGTAATTCATGATTTTGATATTGTTACTCAAGGCCCCTGTGTGAAGCTATAGGTGAAGGGAGTTAAGACATCTTTTTCTTTTCCTTTTTTTTAAAAAAATTTTTTAATTAATCTTAAATTTAATAAAACAAAAATATATTTTATTCATTATAAAATCTTTTATTAAACTAGTTTTTCTATTCTTAATTATAAATATTTGTCACGTTTACGAGATATTGGTACTGAATACTTTTGTTAAATCTATTACGCGAAGTCTCATAACCACAATGAGATCATACCAGAATTACAAATCGAATATAATTTGCTCGAGCTTTCGATCATTCATTCCCATTTGGCATCGGTGTGAACTAATTGGAAGTATTAACATTAAGAAATACCTAAAAAATTTGAATTTGTTAGTAGTGAAAGAAAAGATAAATGTTCAACGGGTCAACGAATAAGAACGAAAAGGGAGATACAATCATCGATTATTTGACTTTTAAATAATATTTATAATATGAAAAAGCTCATAAACTTCATAAGTTGAAAGTCTGTTAGCATAATTATGATTATGCTATAATATAGATTGTTATTAGAATATTAAAATTCATAAATTTCATGTTTGAAAAAAAAAAAAAAAAAAAAAAAAAAAAATACGAAAAACAAAAGGAATTACTGGATTTTGCAAATATTATTTCCTTGCCTCAAAAAGTTTGGGGTATAATCTTACATTAGGACGCAATACAGCCATCAAATTCTAAAACTTCATTTTCTAGAAGAGTTGGTCTATAGATGATTCTACTCCATCTTTGATTAACTTGAAAGTCCAAGAATTTGATCGATTAATAGCGACTACCTAATCATATATAGGTTATTAATATAATTCCGAAATTAAACAAATATTGCATTAACCAAATCCATTGATACTGTTACCCCAATGTTCTTAAATTGTCATTTATTAAATCTGAGTTAATGTTGTAATGCGAAGTTTTATATTTTTTATCTTGCGATTCGTTTTTCTCCTATCTTGCCCAAAGTCCAATTCCCCCATTCTTGTTCATCTCTCTGCAAGCATAGTCTTAGTTTAAAGCAAAATCATATATTATTTTATGTATAATTTTGCTTAGCTTCCATTTCTTGGGATTACAGTCTTGAATTTTCAAGATTGTTTCATTGGATGTCAACTCCATATTTAGTATATATCCTAATTTGATGTTCGTTTGAGCATCTTTAAAAGAATCCGAAGACCAAATCAAGTCGATGACAACTTTATTGGATCAAGTTCGCTTACCAATCCAGATACACCCTGCATCAAAAGTTTCCAATCCTGTATTTTTATGTTCTCGTTGAATCCTTGGAGTACCAATAGGTTCTCCATCATTGTTCGCGATTGAAACTAAGTCTTGAGAATTAAAAAGTCAATTTAAGAAGCATATGTCTCAATAATTATCATTTAATATTCTCATTTTATAAGAAAAAATTGCAATTCTTTTAACGTAAGTTCTTTCTTACTTTTAATTGTTTCTTGTTGAATTCCATGTATAATATTTGAAGACAATTAATATCTCATTCTTCATCCAAGGACGTATAACAAACAATTGACCTTAACTACTTCTCATTATGATTGATAATCTGAATTCTCGTGACTTGATTCAATAACGTATCCTGACTTACGAGTCGTTCATTACATTATATTTCTCTAAAAAAAACAGGTGATAAGTGTCACTAATCTCATTTCCTCAGTTGAGTTATTTGATGTTTCGGGACCTTTTTTGCACGCGTGTTGAAAAAACGGGTGTTGTAGTCTTTGTATGCTTTATAGGTAAAGGCAGTTGTAATTTGTTTCGTTTTGAAGTTTATCGCGCCGAAATTTTAGACCGACTCGAAAAAAAAAAAAAAAAAAAATTTGATATATTGGATCTAGTATATTTTTAGTTTTTTTCCTGCTAAACCTAAAATGGAAAAGGCTCATTATTATTAATCGGCGATCTTCCAATTTTTTCTGAAACTACTTTTTTTTTTTTTTTAAAAAAAATTTGGGTGGTGGGTTTCTTTACTTTGTAGTGATGTCAACTTGGACTATTGTATCGAAAGATCTGGAATATTTAAAGTTGAAACACGAACTACCAATAAGTTTCGGCAAGCCCATCACTATAAAAATTTTTTTAGAAAGTTTATCAATAAAAGTTTCATTTATGAATATTCTCTTAAAAAGATTCATTAAGCCGCATTATCTGTAATAACAAAAAAGTAGAATTTTTATTTAAATAAATAAATATAAATTGATTGTTCTTCCACAGAAAGTTGGCACAAGAACTATTGAAAAAATACATATGAATATGAGAGTAATATCCAATGAGAAAAAAATTGTGTGAAAAGGTTTATAGTTAGGTCTATATATACAGTAACTGGCGGTGATGTGCTCTTGGAAGATTGGAAGCATAATTTTCTAATAAATCCATTTGGATTGGAAGTTTCCAATCCAATTTTTATACCTTTAGAAGCACAAAATTCTTCCCTAATAATAATATTAACAGAGAGATCTAATTTAATAGAGAAACCTAATAACATGCGGCATTATATATCACATTAAATATATACAAAATTCTAAATAAATCATAGGCCATAATGCCGCATTAACCAATATACAAATTCTAAATAAATCATCAGCTTAATGCTGAATTAACCAATAAAGATTCCGTGCTGCATAATACAGCACATTAAATATATACGAAATTCTAAATAAATCATAAGCCAATAATGCCGCATTGACCTATAAATATTCCGATACTGTTTTTCCAAAAGAATTTCTCGTTATCACATCCTTCAGAAATATTCCATACATTTCCATGCATGCACGTTTTAATGAAGCTTTGCTTCATTATCGTTTTTAAAGTTTCTCCAGCTACTATTACCGGGAAATATTTTCGAATTCTTTTTCGAAGAATTTCGTACTGAAGCTTGACAACAAAGACGGTTGACCACTTCGACATTGATATCAGTAGGCGATTGAAGATATGATTTTTTTTTTGATTTATGATTAAGAAAAATAAAATTGTTGCAAGATATTTTTATTTTTATTTTTTTAAAAAAAAAAAAAAAAAGGAAAGGAAGCAAATCCTTAAATATATCTGATAAAGGGCTAAAGACACGTACACAATTTCCTAAATATCAATGAACCGTTTAAGCCTCATCTGCAAATCTTTCAAAGTAAATTAATTTATCTGATTTTAGGCTTTTGTTTATTGGCAAGTAAAAATTGCATCATAAAGCATAAAAGCATGTGAAAAAAAGGTATTTACGATTATGGGCCGTCTAAAGTGTTGTTATTTGGCCGGAAGAAATTAACATGTGACGAATAAGAGACATATACTTCATGCATCTTTACAAATCTTTTTTCATTTTTTTTTTTGTAATAAAGTCACAGGTATTTTAATATTCAAATTGGATTTCATTTAAAGATTATCTTTATTAACATATGTATTTATTGTTTTTTTGTCTTTTTTTAATACTTATATTATTTAGCTCTTCTTTACTATTAATTTTTAATATCTTTAATATAATTATCATTTGTAATTTTATTATTTTTGTTTTTTCTTTTAATTATTCTTAATTCTTTATTATTTTAGAGTTATAGTCAAGTAAGTATTTTGTAATATTTGCCATATTAATAAATGAAATTTTAAAATAAAATAAAAAAATTTATATAGTAATTGATTCTGTATGTAATAAAATTTGCAATCTTTTATTCTTTTATACATAAAATTGTATATAAAATTGTACACATTGTGTACTAAATAAATTTTTTATATATAAAATTGTATGAACATTAAAAAATCATATGTATACATGAACATGTATACATGAATTTTAAATACTACTAATGTTTCTAGTAGTAATTTAAATGCTTTCAATAATAATATTATATATTCTTATAATAAAAATATTATTTTAAAGTTTTTTGTATAAGGTAACAGCTAATAATATTACAAAATCAAATAGATATAAATATTTTAATTAAATAATTTATTCTTTAAATAATTTAATTAAATTTTTAGTAATAATACTAAATGAAAAGTTATATAATATTATATTTGCTTTAAATAAAAAAACCTATCTAAATTATTAAATAATAAAATACTTAAATAATATAAAAATTTATTAAAATATAATTTAAAATGGTTTAATTATATATTTAATATATATCTTTTATTTATTATATTAATTATTTATTTTAATTTTAATAAAATACTTTTAATTAATATAAAATTATTATTGATTCTTTTCTATTTTTAATATTATTATCTATTTATAATAACTTAATATTTTATTTTATTAATTATTATTATCTAATTTTTAATTTTAAAATATATTACAAATTTTAATTAGCTTAAGATTATTATCAAAACTTACTTTAAATTTAGCAACATATTTAAATCTAATTTTTTATTAAAATTTTAATATAACTTTATTATTTTTATAAATTTTAATATAGTATTATTTTTTGAATTTTATAAATTTTTAATAAAATTTTAATATATTTTATTGTATTTAAAACTATTACAATTAAATTTTTAACAATTTTTGTTTAATAAATTAAATAATTAATCTAATATTTATATATAAAAAATTTATATTATTTTTTTAGTTTTATAATTAGAATTTTTTTTTTAATTAAAATCTTTTATAAATAATATTATTTATAAAAGATTTTAATTAAAAAATTAATTTGAATCTTTTATTAGAAAAAATATTTTAAAATATAAATTTTATATAAATATTTAATTTTAAATTATAAATAATTTTAATATTTTAAAATATTAAAAATATATTATATTAAAAAAAAATTAACTTATTTTGATTTTAATGATTATTATCTATTTATTTTATTTCTTAAATAATTTTATAAGCAAATTTACTTGCAATTTAAAAATTAATTGTTGATTACAAAAAAAAAATAAGAATTGATTAATATTTAATTAATTATTTATTTTTATAAATTTATTATTAAAATCAAATTTTAAAATAAATATTAAAATAAAAATTATATATATATATATTTTAATTATTTTTAATAATCAAAATATTATTTGCAATTTTTTTCTTTTTTTTTATGATTAAAACAAATTTAGTATATTATAAATTTAAAAATTTATAATAGTAAATTTATTAAACTTAATATAATTTTATATAAAAAATTTATATATTTTTAATCTATTTATTTATAAAAAAAATTTTTATTTAATAGTTTTAAAAATAATTTATATACTTTGATTAAAATAATTTAATTTTAATAAATTAAGTTAAAATATATAATATATAATATAATTTACTTTATAGAAACTTAGTTTTCTTAATATACAATAACTATAAAATAAATATATAATAAATATATAATTATTACTTTACTTAATAGTAGCTTAATCACAGTCTAATACAGTTAATACATAATAAGAAAGTAAAACTTCTATAAAGTATAAATTTTAACCAATTTAAATGATCTAATAAATTTATTTAACAAATTGAATCTGATTTTTTAATATTATTAAGATTAAATTAATATATAAGATAATGTTTATATAATTGTATTAATTTATAAAAATTTTTTATTTATATTTATAAAATATAATTTAAAAAATTTTAATATTTTAAATTATTTGTATAATAATTTAATAAATTTAAAAACCAAATTTTTATTAAATTATATTAATATAAAGTAATTAATCTTTTTCTTAATTATAAATTATATTTTTTTATATTTATAACTTAAGTATATAATTTGTTTATTTTGATTAAAATAAAAAACTTTTAATACATAAGTAATATATTCATCTTATTTACTATTAAATTAAATTAAAATTTTATTAATATTAAATAAAATATATAATATTTTATAAAGAAAAAATTATTTTAATAATTTAATAAAAATTTTTATATTTTTAATAATAAAAATCAAAGTTTTTTTTAAAAAAATAAAATTTTTAAAAATGAAAAAATGTATTTGTAATATCTATTATAATGTTTTATTTGTAACATCTTTTTTTATTTTTCTTAATAATAAATTATTTTAAATATTTTTATAAATAAGATTTTTAAATACAAAATTTAATTTAAAAAATTTTTACTTAATATATTAAAGATAGATTTATAGATAAAATTTTCAGTTATAAATAATTTTTTGAAATTTTTTTTTAAAAAAATTATTATTTTCGTTATACATCTGATCTTTTATTTTGATTTGCTAAATTATTAATATTACACTTGATCTTAAATTTTGATTAGATAAAATTAAGAGTATTACAAATAAGACATATAATATGATATTATAATTAGATTTATTCTTGAAAAATAAATTAATAATATTTTTTAATAAAATTAAAAAATAACTTTATCACAAATATTTATTATTATAAATATTTTATAAACAGAAATTATTTAACCTCATAAAACTAAATATAAAAAACAAAAAAAAAAATTTCTAATTTTAATTAATTTTTTTAATTTTTAATAAACATTTTATGTTAACAAATTTTTTAAAAAATATTTTCTTTACCTTTGTAATATTTGATTTTCTTAGCTAATAATAAATTATAATAAAACTAATAAAGTCATTGATAAGTTAAATATGATGGAAATCATAGATTAAAAAATGTTGAAAATGTTTTTAATAAAATAAATATTCTAGAAAATCCTAATTTATTAAATTCTATTTTTAGATAATTCTTGAATATTTTTAAATTTATATAAAATAAAATAAACTTATTCTTTGCTAATATCTTTTAATTTAATAATAAATTTATCTTTACTAATTACAAACTAACTATTAATTTTATATATAATAATTCTTATTTTATTAATTTTACGTATAAGTCTAAAAAATAAAATATTTTTATTATTATAAAATTAAGTATTAATAATTCATATAGTATATTAATTAAAAAATATAAATATAATATCTTATTAAACAAAATTTCAATTTAATATTAGAAAATAGAGTATTAAATATTAGAATTCTACATAGTTTAATGCTTTAATTTCATAATATGCTAAATTATTATTTACAATATATTTAACAAACTTGCTAAAAACTTTCAAATTTTCCTACTAATTCAATTTTCTTTATTATATTAATAATAAAAAAAAGTTAATTTATGATCAAATATTATATATCTAATATTAAAAATAGTATAGAAATTATTTCATTAATTTTGAGTCTTCATCTAAGTCTAAATATAAATTTTACATATTATTATTCTCTTAATATCTTTTATTTAGATCTTTTATAGATACTCTTTTAAAGAAAAGATCAAATTTTACCATTAGATATAATAATAACTTTTCAAGTAATGATCATGAACAGATTCATAGTTAGTATTATTGTAAGACAATATTTTAGATATAATCTGAGATATATAAATTTAATATGAAATAGTTTAGAATATAATATATATTCTCAAAATATATATTATCTATAGTATTCTAAAAATTCTTCTTTTTACATTAACATTCTAATATATAATAATAATTCTTTAAAAATCTAGATCTATAAATATAAAATCTTTTATGAGTTAAAAAAACTTAGTTAATAATCTCTAAATATAATAATATTAACTAATTTACATTTTCATTCACTTAAATAACATATATTATGATAAATAATCTTTTTTATATTTATATAATAAAAGAGAATAAGAATGAAAAGAAGTTAAATAAAATATAGATAAAATTAAATAAATAAAAAAACAATAAAGTTAACAATAGGCTAAAGAATAATAGATTTAAATCATTACTAGAATGAATTTTTATGTAAAATAATATATATTTTTATATCTAAATATTTTAAGAATATCTCACAATATATAATCTTAATATTTCATATTATATTTCAAAATATCTTATAATAATAATATTCTATACAAATAAATACTTTTTAGAAAACAGATTGATAAACATAAAAAATACTTACATTTAATATACTAAATATTAAAACTTA